GTGGAAAATAGTCCTGGAAACATGTGCGTTTCCAGGAGGTGTTCACCTGCAGCTGCGTGAAGCTGACCCCCCCACCCACAGAGAAAGAAAAAAAGGCAGTAATTATTAATAAGGTAACCATGCTGTGGCTTCACCTGTCGCATTTTCTTTTAAAGAAAGAAAAAGTAGCTTGCAAAGCTGTCGCATCGGTGCAACGTGATTAGAAGCAGAGCTGCGCGTCTAATCACACAAACGTCTTCCTATCTTTGTGAGGACCACACACAGCTCAGCCTCGCTCTGCGCCGTCTTTTTCCCGAAGTTTGGCGAGAGGTGGATATGGAGGGTTGCAAAAAAATAGCTCTCGACTTGATCTGGTCTTTAAATAAAAATGACTACATGTTGTGAAATTCTTAGAGGGGCGGGCCAGCGCCCCGCCTGTATAATGATAGGGGAAACACTGCATCACAATAGACATTTTGTGTATTTCGGTCAAAGCGATCAGTTTTTAACATTTTGGTACCAAAAAAAAAAAAAAAAACCCCAGATCTGAAGCAAAAGATCTGGCACTTATGGTCAGATGTTATATAGACATAGTCAAAGCCTGATTTTTAGCATTAATCTTGAATTCTGACTTTGTGTCTGGGAGAAATTTTGTATGAAAGTTTTATGACTTTGACACAAACACTTTATTCTGATTCTTGTGTCAAAAGTTTGATGAAAACAAGACAAGAACARCTAACTTATCATGCTGGGCAATCACTAAAGGCCTGAAGGATTTCACCACTTTCAATCAGCGCAATGAACCCATAGTTCTGTTGCTTCATGCTTGCTTTGATTTTAGCATGAATGACAACAGTTTATGTAACATGTAACATGTATGGCAACAGTGCCAGCACAAACGCTATCATCAGATGAGGTCATACCACCCAGCCCTACAAACAGTCCTTATGAACTAACACTTTACTCATGGCACATTGACCTCCATGTCAGTGCAACCTTTGATGTTAAACTCTTGACAATGTAACAAACTGTAGGCCTTTAGTTGAAGTGGAAATATGTAGAAACCCTGTACTGCCCTGCATTCAGTATCTTTTAGTTCTCTTGAAATTTGTTGTAAATATTTTTTCTTTAGTCCTCTGTAGTTGGTTTAAAGGTGATGACTTGATTTAAAACAAACAAAATCTCTTCTTGCACATAGGACTTGGATGGCTGGTGCAACCTGACAGAGTTTGACCTGCCTGAGGACAGTCCCAGCCCCGAATGCCATCAGTTTCGTCTGGAGGGCAGCGCCTTGCAGGAGCTGAGCAAAGGCAGCAAGGGAGAACTCATCCCCATATCCCCCGGAGGCATCACTCCACCTTCCATACTGTCCCGCCACAGCCGGAGGTACATCACCTTGTCGCCAGACACCAATCAATCCAWGACTCCCAAGAGCACCCCTGTCAAAATCCTGCCCTTTTCTCCATCTCAAGTAAGTCTTCACAGATAATACCTCAGGGCTGGTGCTGCTTTCTAATGCACTGGAACATTATTCAACCATTTTGTTATGGAAGAAAAAATAGTCTCATTGGAATCTGAATATTTTTAGACACTGAATTTATGACATCGAATTTTTATCCTCTGAAATTATGTATGTGAATTTTTTTTTACTTCATATTTGCTGGCAAAATTTCACCTGCAACATTTCAACTGAAGAAATTCACCAGAAAAAAAAAATCAACTACAGTAATTCACCAGTAAAAATTCACCTGAAAAATATTCAGCTACAGAAATTCACCTTTAAAAATTCACCTGAAAATATTAAACTACTGAAATTCAGCTGCAGAAATTCGCTGTAAAAAATATGTTGACCTCCTGGTGACCCAAGCCAAAGCAATCAATACTAGATCAAGTCGAGCAGCTTTTAGCCAATCAAGTTACACTCATTTGATCATGTGACACACCAGCTCGAGATCAGAGGTGACTTTTTATTTTATTTTATTTT